TTTTTTTAACACTGCGAAAATTCATAATATGACTTTGATGGTACTTTGTGAACCCCCTTAGTATATTTTTTAGGCGTTTAAAGTTTACGATATACAACAATACCACACTTAGTACGTCACCGTTGTGAATACCCCCAATGTTTGGATACTGTCATACTGCGGTATTCAAACTGTTTGTATATGCAGAGTTGCGACACATTGCAACCATATACATTGTATATTTTAAATATTCAATATAGCAATGAACAATTTTTCTGAATTTTCCATTTTTGAAATACCAATGGTAACCAATAACAAACGAAGCATCAACTTTAGGTGTGTTTTTGGTACAGTGTGTTAGTGCATTTTGAATAAGTTCTAATAGAAATGGAAGTAATTGTAAAAGGTAAAACCAAAGGCCAAAAAACAGGTGATCTCAGCTGTAGGCATTTTTTGTCCATCAGCTGATAGTGTTTTACTTAGGAAACTGTACGATGTTTTATATTTAGGAAGTTCGAAATATAAACGGCTAAGACGCCTAAGGTTTTAGAGCACTACACAAAACTTTTCATATGCAAATTTCAGTAAAGCCAGTAAAACCTGAACAATTTCGAAGGCCGAGCCGCCTTAAAAGTTTAACATGAACCTTTAGCTATGCTTTTGTATTGTTATCGTTATCGAAAACATTATTAATTCACATACTTACCCATATTGTCGATATCGATATCGATATAATTATTTATATACAGGAGTGGCTAGATAAAATGTACGATATTTTTTATAAAAAATCTTTTGAATTACATAACAAAAATTACATAAAAGGATATACATACATATGTATGTATGTGCCCCGTGGCGTTTGAGTAACCCATTTCTTTAATCATGCTAAAAAAGTGTCAATTACAAAAGTATTCAAAAATGGTAAAATGAAATAACTTAAACTTTTAATCATTTTTATTTACTATGCAACCACTGGCCTATATAATACACTCAGAAAAAGCATTCCTTAATGCTAGGAAAAAAGTATATTATTCTAAGGAAATTGTACCTTTAAATGGCTCCAAAGACATGCCTGCCCTAATAATAGTAAACGAATTGACTCAGTTTAAGGAAAACACAATTCCTTAGTTTTTAAGAAAAATTAAATTTATCATTTTGCTCGTGGCGCTCAAACAGTGGCAATGGCCGACAGAGCAAAGCTCTGGGGTGCTAGTCGAGTGCTGCAAGGTCGAGTCCCAGAGCAGGAATTTTGTTTTAATATTTTTTTTTAATTTTTTTTGTTGTAATTTTTAAAATTGTATTTTAAAAAAAATATCTAATTTATTTTGTATGGTATTTGAGTATTTAGGTTTTTCCATATATGAAATTAATTTTACTATTTGTAATTTATATTTAATTTGAAATATTTGACTTACCTTACTCTAACCACCTCCAACCGGACTCGAACCTGCGATCTCAGAACCAGCAGCAGTAGTGTTCACGCGACGCCACAGCCGACATTTGCCAGGAAAGCAATAAACTTTGTTTTAACAGCACTGACAGAACTATTTACAGTTAATGTCAACTAATTTTTTTTTAATTTCCGACCTACTCGAATTAGGTAATTATTCTAATGCTGGATTTCCACTAGGCATTAAATGTCAAAAATGACAAACGACAAAGTCGAGCATTAAAAAATAATCGTGTCATTACATTAAACAAATAGTCATTAAGTTCATTTTCACATGGCATTTTTTTAAATGGCATACATATATTGTCATTTCAATGCCTAGTGGAAATTCGGCATAAGTTTAGCATTTACAAAACGGCCAATTTTTATGTAGTAAATATTTTTAGATTACAATTCAAACCAAAAATTTGATGCTTATCAACTGCTAACCAACTACCTCTCTTTTACCTTTCAGATGGCTACAAAAATTCGTGCTGGTCCCGTTGTTGACATTCTCGGCGATGAAATGACTCGCATCATTTGGTCTTCGATTAAGGACAAGCTAATCCTACCTTTCCTCGACATCGAATTACACACGTACGATCTCGGCATGGAGAATCGCGACAAAACCGATGATAAAGTCACCGTCGATTGCGCGGAAGCGATTAAGAAGTACAATGTTGGTATTAAGTGCGCAACTATCACGCCGGATGAGAAGCGTGTCGAAGAGTTTAAACTGAAGAAAATGTGGAAATCACCCAATGGTACTATTCGTAACATTCTCGGCGGCACAGTGTTCCGTGAAGCGATCGTTTGTAAGAATATTCCACGCCTGGTTTCGGGTTGGGAGAAACCCATTGTCATCGGTCGTCATGCGCACGGTGATCAATATAAGGCTACAGATTTTGTGGTGCCCGGCCCTGGCACATTGACACTGACTTTCAAGCCCGCCGAAGGCAACGAAACCATTTCTCATGAAGTATACCAATACAAAGGCTCCGGCGTCGCAATGGGCATGTTTAATACCGACGATTCGATCGTTGATTTTGCGCACGCTTCCATGAAGTATGCTCTCGCAAGAAAATTGCCGCTCTACTTGAGTACCAAAAACACCATTCTGAAGAAGTACGATGGTCGCTTCAAAGACATATTTCAAGAAATCTACGACAAAGAGTACAAGAAAGATTTTGAGGCTCAAAACATCTGGTATGAGCATCGTCTAATCGACGATATGGTCGCTTATTGTATGAAATCCGAAGGTGGCTTTGTGTGGGCCTGTAAGAACTATGATGGTGATGTACAATCGGATTCGGTTGCACAAGGTTTCGGCTCGTTGGGTTTGATGACATCAGTGCTGATCTGCCCGGACGGCAAGACAGTCGAGTCAGAGGCGGCACATGGTACTGTTACACGTCACTACCGTATGTATCAGCAAGGCAAAGAGACATCAACCAATCCCATTGCATCGATTTTCGCCTGGACACGTGGTCTATTGCATCGCGCAGAATTGGACAAAAACGAGAGCTTGAAAAAGTTCGCCGAAACGCTGGAGAAGGTGTGCGTTGACACCATCGAATCGGGTAGCATGACCAAGGATTTGGCTATTTGTATCAAGGGCATGAACAAAGTGCAACGTAGCGACTACTTAGAAACATTCGAATTCATGGATAAGCTAGCTGAAAATCTGCAAAAGGCACTTGGGCAATGACTTTACAAGCGCAAGGCGCGCATTGCAAATAATGAAGGCAACCGTTCGCATTTGTGAGATGCAAGTGATGGTATTACTGAAGTTAGATGTTATACATTAGAGCAGGGTACCCAGTGTATGATCCATTGTTCACATAAGCAAATTGTTTATAAATTTATGTACACCTACAATAAAGGCTTTTATATTTGGTATTGTGTGTACTTTGGGTGTATTTTTGAAATTTCAGGATTTTTGAAGAACATTTTTCATATTTACCCACGCTGAGTTCAATAAAGCATTTAAGTAGTTTTTCTGACGTGCAGAAAGTCGAACCGTTTGCAGTCGGACAGCACACGTTGTGCCCGAACTGACATTATATTGCGCTACCTTAGACGCTAAGAAACTGGAAAACTGCGACACATGAAATCAAAATTATGGATGCTCTACCTGATCTTACCATATTTGAAGTGATGCAGCTCTCTTTTCTTTCTAGATCCTTCTTTGTTTATCCGCTAGATATCATGCGTCATCACGAATGTAGCATCGTCTCAGGTTATTTTGAACGCGCTTATGACCCGGTGAGAGCTTAGCTTTAACACCAATTTTAGCGTTCCCAAAACTGAGCTCCATAAAATAAGGATGAGCACAGCAAATTTGAGTGCAAATCTGTTTTATCTGCCAATGTAATCAGCATGATGGCCGCCGTAGCTGAGTGATGAGAGGTGCAAAGTACCAAGGTTCGATTCCTGGTCAGAGCAACCTCAAATAAGTAAGGCTTTTTCTAATAGCGGTCGGCCCTCGGCAGGCATTGGCAAACATCTGAGTGTGTATTTCTGCATTAGAAATGCTTCTCATATAAAATCGTCTGCCGTTCGGAGGCGACGTAAAACTGTAGGTCCCTCCATTTGTGTAACCATATCAAGCCGCACACCACAATTAAGAAAAGAGACTCAACCAAATACATAGCAAAAGAGCAAGCGCCATAAAATTTTGTTATTATTAATCAGCATGAAAAGTGTGTATCTTCGGAGTTACTTGGAGGTTCTCAAGCCAATCCTATATGATCCTCCCCCCATGAAGCTGACAGACGTTATGCTACCGAAATTATCCTTCGACAAGCCTTACAAGAGAATGCGAAGCGATAATATCTAGAAACGTCTGGCAATGACCACAAACCCAACCATATTCCAGGCGGAAGCCTTCGCAACCGTGGTATGTGTTCGAGAATGTCTTCGTTTCAGGACAAATGATGCCAGTATAAATACTATGCCGGATAGTCAGCAGCTTTAAAGGCCTTATACTCATTTAGAACTGCATCAAGGCCTTTCAAAGACCAAGCAGCCCACAATAGAGTAATGCTGTGGTCGGTGTTGGGACATGAAGGGTTTGAAGACAACGAATGAGCTGACTGTGTCACAAAACGTCGAGCCCAATCAAAAAACTTTATAACTCCTTCCATAAGGAACTCCGAAAGGCTCCTTCAACTTAGCCGGGAAGGTCTTATAACTCTTACAGGCTAAACACCGAAAGTTGGGATACAATTTGAATAAAATGGGACTTTCTGTAGACACCGACTTCAGGTTTTGTGAATTGGCGGACAAAGCCCCAGAGCATATTTTTTGTGACTGTCGACGCATCATGAATCGCAGACTGATACACCTTGGAGAATATCTTCTCCTGGAGATTATCTTCTCCATACAAGGTGCTTAACTTCTTAAATTGGCTACAGTTGGAATGATTACAATTACGGTTGAACATAATAGATCTTTTTAGGTCGCAGTACGAGTATACTCGACCTAATAACAATAACGACCTACCTTGATCATACGGAGTTAAACTTCTGTGCTGATGAATTTCGCTTAGCAGTAACTGCAAGTGATGATTACCTACGAGTTTCGCTCCTGGAGTGAGAGATATACCAAAATCTCCGTCCACATGTTTTGGAGTACCTCTTCTCTGGTGAATTAACCAGGTCTAAGGCTCACTAATAAAGCCTAAACAGTACGTTGGCGATATGGCAACGAAGACAAAGAAGTACATACTCGTACGTTCATTGAAAATCAATTGGAAAACATGCGTTAAAAATTACTTTTAAGGAGTTGCATACGTAACCCACTCATTGATTATTCTGGCGTTACATCTTCCGTTCTAAGGCTTGTATTCTCTTTCCGATCAATAGCTCCCGTTCGAAAGGTCTTTAACCTCACTTCAAAGCTCGTCGAAATGCAATCGCACCAGCTTTTTACACTCTTTCGCAAGAACAATAAAAAACACCAGAGTTGAGCAAAATTTTCGTTTTATTTTCTACAAATCCACATACATCGTTCAGCGCTAACTGACCAGCACTTTTGGGGTTTCAATTGAGCTATGCACAAGTCAGCTTTTATTAGATTTGTCGCAGTGCTAGTTGCAGTCTTTCGGAAATACCCAAACGAGCAACATGCGTGTACCGATAGACACGCGTAAAAAGCAAAATAAAAAACATTAATTTAATAATAAAAAAACAAAAACACTCGCAAGGACCCGCATTTCTTTTCGAAATTTCAATAAAATCACCATCATTTTGTTTTTGTGTTTAAATACTTACTTAAACTACAGCGCGTTGAAATCAAAGAAATGCTATCAAATCTCAAACCGCCATTAGCAAGTGTGTCCTTCGTCTTCCCTCCACTGCTGTGGGTGATAACATGTTTGTTGGCGTCAGTGAGCGGTTATCCTTCCAACACTTTTCGCGATCTCGATATCTGCAATCATTGGAATGGACGTCGACATTTTCTGGAATTGGGCGAACGTGGCGATTTGCATGCGCGTAATGTCACCACATCCGCTTTTCGAGTGTGTAACGTGTCCGTTATTTTGCGTATCAGTATTTAAAATTATTTCTCCTCACTCCCTATAGAGCACCCTATTCTCGCCCACAAATCCTAGCCAAATGAAGAATCGCAGCAGCACAGATATTTGGTATCAGTGCAATTTGGAGCTGGTGACCTGCGCTGAGTGCGTCATTCGCATAACATTCACGCACATCAACTTCTCTAAGACGTGCGAACGCATTGCCAATTCGGGTATTGGAAAATCCTCACTTTGTCCTTGCGAACATATTCAATTCTCGGAACCACCGTATGACACAACGATTTCGGGCCAGGAGTTCTGTGGCGATGGCAAAGTGTTTCGCAGTAAAACGCGTACGTTGTTGCTGAAATTCTTCTATCGCGCAACCAATAGTCATGTCTTTTCGCTGCAGTACTTCTCGGAAAGTATGTCGTATGCGTTTAATATTCGTAGACACATTCGCTAATTTCCAAAATGTTTTTTTTTTTGTTTTCTGTATACTTATTCTAACTCAGGGAATGTTAAAATTGTTAGCGGCTCACCGCGGCAGGCCATAATCAGCAATTATTCCAAAAATGAGCCGCATGTCATCTCAACTCCCTACTTTCCTATGCCGTATCCTCGTGATTACGGCATTGAACATATACTGACATGTGAATCGGAAAACTGTCAAGTGCGACTGGATTTTACCGACTTTCAGTTAGGCCTAACCTCAACATTGGAAATATTCGATTCGAACGGTCAAATGTTGGACTCGTACACCGGTGAACATTTTCGTCCGCCCATCACAATTAGCAATGGTAAATCACTATTGTTGCAATTCCGTGGTAACGGTAATACGGGTGTCGGATTTCGTGCCGAGATATCTTTCGTTTCATCCAAGCAATTGAAGGAAGATCGCTTAGTGCCATATACAGGTGAGTTTTGGTGTAACTTCAGATAAGAAATGAACAATTGGGGAAGTTACTTAAGATCATTCAATAGTAAGAACTGAAAACGATTCATTATAAAAAAAGATTCATACAAGGGCTACCTTATTGGTAGCCTCTTTGAGCTCCTTGTTAGAAACGAATTTAGTTTAAGCAGTTAAACTTGCAGCTTTTAAGTTTCAGCATGATTTTTAAGGATAAATCTCATTTAGAAGACCTCCTTTGAGTAAAAGACTTTGTGGCTTTCAAATTGTGGCCGCAGTTATGCAATATTTCAGAAGTAGTAGGACAACTTTATTAGCGCTCCAACCAATTTTGCTCCACAGTGAAACCTCTCCAAGGTTTTTTTTTGTTTTGTTTTATCGAGCTTACGTTATCTTCTTCTGCTTAAAGCTGTACAATGGCTCGAAATGTTTTTTTTCACATATTCTTGCAACTACGAAAATAGTCCGATCTACCCGTAGTCCTACAAGCATCCTTCTCTCTTTCTCTTTGAACTTAGCCACCAATATCGGTTTCCTACTTTAGGGAGGTCAGTAATTCTTGCGGCTTCTCAGGTCGAAATATTGCTCGCCTTTACTATGATGAAGGTTTGTACGACCTTAATGCACTCTACACCCGTCGGGACAACTTTGTCATCGATGAGAAGCTAAGACTGCGCATTCAGCTTCCCAGCTACGGTAATGGACCGTAGAGTCCTTATTAGGAAGGGCATTTCCTTTCTGTACGTTTCCTATTATAGGAAAGCCTAGTGGTCCAGGCCGTTTCACAGCATAATAAGTAGTTCCTGCGTTCGTTGCTGTTAGATCTTTTACTGTTTAAAGGCTGCCATTCGTATTCCTACCGATCCTTTTCTGGACGGATGTGGGTAATCGTAGCTTTCCTTAACTATTTGTGAACTTTACAATAATGATTTGAATTAAGTAAACAATGCTTAGCCATTTCATGCAGAGATCTATAGCATTCAATAAGGGACTTTACATTTTTCATGTGTGAGTCTAAAGCATACACGCCTTCGCAGTGCAGGCAGGCGTTCGTTCCACTTTCGCCATCCGGAAAAATTATTACCAAGGAAGCAAATATTGAAGCTACGCAGTTCTTTAAAAAAAACGCAACAAAAAAATCTCGTACGATCCAAAAATTGCTAAAATTGAACGCAAGTTACTCGAAAGGACTTTCGACGTTAGCCGCCTCGTCTTCGTGAGGCATGCAGGAAATCTGAGTGAGTTTAGAATTTTTCAAGGATCTACTTGATACAGCTAAATTAAGGTTAGGGGCAAGGTACATTGAACAGGTAGTATCAGTAGAGCAGCTGATTTGATTTATTTTCAAATTATTTGGTCTCGAAAATGTCAAATATTTTTAATTTTTTCTCACAAAAATTCTGAATTGTTAAAATCCATTTGCATGTGAAACCTTTTTCCATACAAAACAAGCGATTGAATAGCAGCTTTTGGAACGTTCGCCCAACTCAGCAGCACAACCGCTGATTACTGGCCCTTGTAAAGGATGGATCAATGCTTCGAGAAGCAAACAAATTTACTAGGAAAGAAAGTTGCAACAATTTTTATTTTTTCCAATTTAAATTTATTATTTTTTTTGTATTTCACATGGCACGCTTTGATTTAGAAGAAAAAATTCAGAACAGTTGTTGACACTTTCGATACCAGAAGCAACAACAAAATACACGCAAATGTTGTTTTTGCTCTACTGATACTACCTGTTTAATGTGCCTTGGTTAGGGGCATTTTTCTTAAATATATATACGTTCCAACCGTTGATTTGAAAGGAAGGAATTATTTGAAATCACTTGCCTAGCATACTTTCGTCTCAGTATATGCTGCATAGAAAATTGTGGATACACCTCACCAACTAAAATATTTGCTTAGTTCAAGTCAGCTAAACAATCCAAAAGTATTGGCTAAAGGTTTGGTTAACGGACAGTGGCAGATATGGTCTTTGCGATGCTTTCCACATCTTCCTCGTATCTGCAGCTGCGACAAAAAAATAATTTGAGGGAAGAGCGGTCAAGCCGTGTGATAGCAGTGGATCGCTTTACATAGATTTTTGGTCAAATTCGCCTGGTAGTATGGCAGGTGGTTTCTATGACCCACCTTTAAGTAATCTGCGCTTGCGGGACGTCGTGTCTTGGCCAGAATTGTCTTCGAATATTTGCATCCCTCTTTTTTCCAACTCGTCGGCTGTGCAGTTTGCAGGAATGCATTTTGTTGCCAGCAGGTCGAGTATCCTTCTGCCACTTTGGACTTTGTTCCGTTAGTTTTTAGAGATTTAATAGCAGCTTGACTGATACATAATGATAGGCCGCTCGGGAGAAGCAGTAGTCATGAGGCGCCGAGTGGCTTA